TTCGGCGGTCTGTAGTGTGATTTGATATTGTTTTGTTCTCGTTTCGCTCGCTTCCTTGTTCATGCTTTTCTCGAGTTCGCAGTTTACCATCATTTTTGCCATGTGTGACAGAATAACTGTGTCAGCTAGGTGTCTGTCTGCGGGTTGTTAGCCAAGATTTCTATGCTTTTATTCAAGCTCATGCATTCACTGACCTTATTGGTCACATGTGCTTGCTTCCCCATATTGGTTCAGAAGTTTTGAGGTTTTTAGCAAAAACATATGAATTCGATTCAGCTCTTATCTTTGGTGTTTTGCCCACTGTCTATTCAGATGGAACGTGATTATTGGGTATAATTTCTGCGTGATCCTCGCCAAGTGCAGCCTCCAGTTGGTGGGGTGCGTTTATTGGACCCGTTTAGCTAACCAGTGTTGGTTCGTTCAGTTGTTTGGTGTTCAATGCATGGATCCGCTATCCTGGTCGAAGTTTGCATCACCAGGTAATCTACCGTTGTACTCATATTCTTTATAATCATGAAAACTGGTAAAATTTCGTATCGTTCTTGGTATCATAGTGAGGTTACTCCTGTTTTAAGCTTTGTGGATTGGCGTTCTCATCCTCTGTGCTTTCACTGAATCGACGTGGTGCGCTGCTTGAAAATTTCAACCTCGCATAATTTATATTCCGTGACTACTTGTGAAGCCAATTCTGATAACCATCCTTTTGAACATTGACTATTGAATATTCAATTGGGAGTAAAATGCCGAAACCGTGACTAGACTAATTATAATTGTCTAGTATTGATCTGAATCACTTGGTTTATCTCTTCCCTGTTCTGCTCCATTTAGACACTTTCAGTGTTTAACGTATTTATTAATTTCACCTTGCATATCTAATGTTCCATTCGATTTTTTTCTAATTCCAAAAGACTATTTTTTCTTGCGCGCTATTGTGTGATGCGCGACAGAATGAGTGAATCTCCCAGTCAAGTATTCACTGTTCATTTATGATAACCGGTAACCTAAGGACTAGTAGTAGTGAACCCCGTAATATCCAACTAGAACCGGTCGAAGCCGTTTGTTTACTCCAAAAAAGATATAAGCAGTTTCAGCCTCACCTCATATATTTCGTTGTTGAAGAATTAACGATACTGACTGATTTTTTTCACGTCTTGACGACATTCGAATTCTCTGTTATACATTGCGATCTTTTTGCGAGCTACGTATTTCCCATCGCTAGATACTGTCTAGGCTGATAAAGCCATCGCGAGTCGTGCTAAGATCGCTCTGGTACGGACGAATTCCGCTATGGTACCAACGTTCAACTCGTATTCTCTGGCTGCGGTCCTTGTAAATCAATTCAAAGTGAAACGTTTTTGTTGGCCAGGGTAGTTTTCTTTAGTTAACAGTCGGTCACGATACTGCGCAAAGTAAATTACTGTCACACAGTTCGTTTGAAATGCATACTTCATTGATTTATTATTCATGAACTTTTGGTTCACGGGATCTTTTGTTTTTCATGGTAAATGATGTGCATGTGCCTCTGCCCCTCCAAATCGTTGTGAATGCCGGTTTTCCGTACTCCTTACACTAGGTTTCTGGTCAATATACATTCTTTTTGTCGTACCGGAGTGCGGCACTTCCTCAGTTTTCTCTCTCCCTCTCTGTGTCATACTCCCACCTTGGTACATCAGTTGTGTTTTGCATTGTTATCTCATACGTTTGTCATACGTTGCTGTCTGTGATTTCATCAGTTATGCACCGCCATAGTGTGCACATTCGGGGTTGATGAAATCTTTTCGCATAACTTTCGTTGTATATTTTTCCCAGCGTCGGTGACATTAGTTCCCTTCTTCATTGNCCCCCCCCCCCCCTGGTTCCAGGACATTAATCCAGTGTTTGATGAAACCGAGATGGTTCACTTTGCGTTCTTAAAATACAGCATGTTTGAGTATACCAAATGCAAAGTAGGCATCTTGGTCGGAGGCATTTTGTATTTATGGTATATATCTGATGACAATCCAAAGTCTAAGGTCCGAACGTGTTCAGTTTGTCGTTTATTTGCAGATCTCTTACGTGACTCTTGTTCAAAACAAATTATTCTACTTCTATTTTCCCTGGTGAAGAAAAAAAGCGCAGGTGAATCGATTTTGTCTTGCTTACTGCATCTCAATCCGATGTTTAACCGCCTCTTGTAGGTGGTAAATAGCTTCACCGGCATCTGGATCAGTACCGCACCCATCCTGTCGGAGGTTTATGTGGCTAACTCAACCGGTCTTCACTGAAAAGCAGAGGTTTTCCTTCCATCAATGATGACAATAGCCAGTGTATGATAGAAAGGCTGACGTGTTCAAATGACCTCGTTGCCACTGAAGAAAGTTGACGTCATTTGAACTTATGATCAATATTTTTTCACTTTGATTATTATACCTTATCTTGGGCATATGTGACCCAAATCGTTCACATTCTTCATGAACTTGTCTCGATTATGTCACTTTGCTCTCCGCTGATCCATCTGTTTCCCGCACATTTCTCCATTTGTATCATGTGTTCCTATGTAGTTTACGATGAAGAGTGCATCACCGTGTCCAGTGGACTTCATTGGGATGTGATCTGTTTCCTGTTCATTCTATTCCAACGCAAAGTGTTCATGACTCGCAGTTTCAGTCACGTTGTACTGGATTTGAATGTACAGAGCCAATTCGCTTCACGGTAAGTACAATACGCGTTCGCACCAGCGATTTTGCTCTCTCATCATGGGTATCCCCGAAAAGTAGTAAACTCTCTGCGGTCCCCTGTGACATTGCTTTGAACTGCCTTTTGTTTTCTGTTCTGTTCCGTTTTGCACATCATTATCCAGCGGTGCATATCTAATCAATCGAAAACTGATGCTAGTGATTAGTGAACAAGCAGCGCGGGAGCAGCGTTCTTTGGAAAAAATACGTGAAAAATTGGAGGTTATCCAACGCCGACAGGCCGCTCTGGGACGAAATACAGCCAATATCAATGAGCATTATATCAGTGAGTTTTGTTGTACAATTCACTCCGTATCATTTTTTGAACAAAATAACATTGTTTTCAATCGGTGGGCCAACTTGTGTTCGTATGGTGTTTTTTTTCAAATTCCGGAAATTTGAACACAAAGTGTCCCGCTGACAACGTTCTCAACTCCGTCATTTACGATTTACTTATGCTGTTTGTCTTTTTGAGTGGGCACATATCTCTGTTTGCACCGAAGTTCCTCTTCGAGTTTCATGTTTACGTAGAATACTTAGCTGTACCAGACAAGGTCGATTTGTGAGTCATTTTTAATAGGTCCTGCTCATTGAATCCTACTCTCCGGCCAACAATCAATGAATAGTTCAAGTGCGAAGCTCGTTTTCAGGGTGTACCAACTTATGTAACGATCATTTAATTGACCACGTCCCTTTATCGGGGTTGCCTTAGTACATTCCAATTTGGAAATTGTTTATAAACGGCTGCAATCAGAACAGCGACTAAAATTGTATGACCATGCTCACTCTGTTTTCTGTTTATATGAACGTTTAATCAATTGTCATCGACAGCTACGTTGTCGACAAGCTACAAGGCACTTTTCTAATCGCTGAAAGCAATTCTCAATAATTGCTTTGGCTAGCCGCTTGGTTTTCGTTCCTGGTGTCATAATTCCCGAAGACCGATGCAGGCTCGAGGAGATTTACCATCACGACGAGACGGCACCTTGACATGGTGTGATCGCTTGTGTGCCTCAATGACCAAGCGAGCTATACAGGATGGCTCCTCACAGCTGCAGATCCAATCATGCCTGAAAGGTCGATGGGTTAACGCCAGACAAACATCAGTCTCAAAAGGCCAGCTGCTTGGGCACCTCCTGGTCTTCTTCTTCTATCCACACGTGCCCCTGGAGAGGTCACTTCAGAAAACAAACACAAGAAAAGGCAGCTTAACGGTCCCAAACCGCCGTTAAATGGAGTTAGGAGCGGGGTACCTGGGGCTCCATCTCGAAAGTCGAAAAAGTCTTCGCACTTCATTGAACAGCTATCGCCCGCCCGAGCTGGGCAGCCCCTCTCTCCTTGTCTATTCAACTTTGTTATAGATCTGATTATGGAAACAGCCCTATCCTCGTGCGAGGATAGTGGCATCGATGTACTCCCAGGTGGCAGGCTGTCTGATCTAGAGTACGCGACGACATTGTGCTGCTAAGTGAAAATCCAGGTAAGTTGCAAGCTTTTCTGGATAGTTTGAGTGCTACTGTAACCAGGTTCGGTATGCG